ATTAAATTCAATTTAAAAGGTATAGGACAAAAAGCACAGCAAAATGTGTGTCATGTTAACATGCTTTTCTAAACCAGTATTGAAATTTATCACACACCCGTGCCGATTTTGCGACTCCGTAAATATGGTATTGTACGGCCGTGCATATATTTTGACGTGACGTCATTAGCGTTACACAAACATAGTGTAAAGACACGTTAAATGTTAGCATTATATACTTTAGGCGCGTCAATGAAAAATGACACTTATTTCACTTTAAATGGTCTTTATTTTGGGTAATAATTGTGATAAATAGAATATTAAATTCGTGTAAGTTCACTACTGAATTTATTGCACTCGTTGAATAAAATAATATTATGCTCGCCAGAGGCTCGCATAATATAATTTTATTCAACTTGTGCAATAAATTCAGTATTGAACTTACACTCATTCAATATCCTCTATATTTTGTATAAAAGAATAGTATAATGAAAGACCTTATGAATTTGTTTTCATATTATGAATGTATTGCCTGTGTAAATTGTATAATTATTATATTCTTTTTCTAGGAAAAATTTACATTTACTTTGACATGTGGATGATTATTTTTCATTTTATACATGTATAATTATGCAAAATATAACATTTATGGAACAATCTTTAAGACAAAGTGATTTTAAGTGTTCTTCACTTTCCCCATCACCCCCTTCCCTTTCCCCATTACCCCCCTTCCCTTTTCCCATTAACCCCCCTTCCCTTCCCCCATCCCCCCCTTCCCTTTCCCCATAACCACCCACTTTCAATCTTCTCATCACCACTCCACCTTCCATCTTCCCCATCACCCCCACATTCCACCTTCCCAATAAACCCCCTTCCTTCCACCATCAACCCCACCCTTCTTCCACCTTCCCATCACCAACCACTTCCCATCTAACAACTAAAAAAAAAAAATGATAAGAATACGATGAAAAATTTATAACTTGCATTACTTTTATATTCCAAGAACAGATATATTGTTATATTCCTGACCTGAGACAATTTTGCATTTCAAAGGAAATGTCCTGACTTATGAACCTATCTTATGACTGGTCAAATGGCTAATAGCAATGTAGATGAACATCAACATATTGCTGGATTGTGTTTTCTTAGGAGAGCAAATTTAATTGAAGTCTAATGTGTTTAACTTAAAAGATACTAATGTTTATTGGAACCATGACAGACTTTAGATAGCCCTAAAGTTGGTCTTATGTCCTTGGACTTAGGATACACTTATGGCTTTCTATGAAAAGCCAGTCCTAGCTGTGTCTGGTTGGCAAGAAGATGGTACTCACTTCAAAAGATTGTCTTGATGGTAGCGAAAGGATTAAATTCATTCCATATAGAAAAGCTTTTTTACGTAATGACTGACAATATTTCCATACAAAAATTGACAATGTTTTTCTTTTTTCCTCGTTGCTGATTTTTCTAGTTTCCCCGGATTTCTTGTTCTGTCTTAAAAGAAAAATATCAGTATCTTATCAGCTACATAAATATCTTAAAAAACTTGTATCTTTTAACATTTAAACATGAGATTGGATGGAACTCAGCATGTCTGTTTACAAGTGATTCCAATAAAAATAACTCTGTTATCACAACCACTGATCTGTGCGTCAAGTCAAGTAGACCGTGTATCTAGGTGCACCTGCCTTATGTCTAAATTCTTCTTATTTTTCAACCAATTTTTCTGCTTTTTTTTTTCCTCTGGGTTGTTTTTTTTTATAATGATAAAAGATAAGGCCTTGTTGTAATAAGTATAAATTCATTTCCTTTATAAATCTTTTTTATGTGTGATTTAGTTTTATAATTGTGTAAGATGAGAGAATCCAAATTATTTATATTTCTGTGCAAGTAATTTATAATATATTCTAAATCTTTTTATACTGTTAGCTAGTACTAGTATATCTTTCATTGTAAAAAATATCTGCTAAACCTTTATATTTTACATTTTGAGTTTTGACTGTGAGATATGTTATATATTATCACTGTTAATTGCTCCTTGTGAATGCTAATCATTTGAGCCGCGCCATGACAAAACCATTGTAATGTGTTTGCGACCAGTATAGATCCAGACCAGCCTGCGCATCCGCGCAGTCTGATCAGGATCCATGCTGTTCGCTAACAAACCCTATTACAAGTAGAGAAACTGATAGCAACAGCATGGATCCAGATCAGACTGCGCGGATGCGCAGGCTGGTCTGGATCCATGCTGGTCGCAAACCCACTATATTGGTTTTGTTGTGACGTGGCTCATTTGTTTAAAGGCTTATTTTGCTTACAAAATACATATTATTATTTAATCAAACATGTGTTTAAAGCTGCATGCCTCCAGATAAGACAAAATATTTCAATAAAATCAAACCTGAGAAATATTAACTTACATTTTATGAAAAGAAAACTGATTTAAAGTTTATATAATAATTTACATGTTATGTGCGAATAACGGTAGAATTTTTTAGTATTAATCACCATATTTCTACTGCGTTACTAACGCAGTAAAGGCTATTTTCAAATATTTTGACCTCATTTTGTTAATTTGCATGGGATGTGAGTGCTGTTTGTAATGTGTAAGTTGCTTCCCTTTGATTTCTTCAGAATATTAACTTTTAAATACATTTTCAAAATTTTCATGAAAATTTTGCTTGAAACTGGAGGCATGCTGCTTTAATAGTATTTTTGTGTCGCCTCTACGGAGTAGTGGCGACATAAAGGGATCACTTCTCCGTCGTCTGTCTGTCTGTCTGTCTGTCCGTCCGTCACAAAACTTGTCCGGACTACTCCTCATAAACTACTGGTGCAATTTCATCCAAACTTTACAGGAATGATCAGTACCAAGTCTAGTTGTGCATATTGCACGGGTTTTCCGGTTCAATGATTTTTGTCAAAGTTATGGCCCTTTAATAATTTTTAATTTTAAAGTTTGTCCGGACTACTTCTCTTATACCACTAATGCAATTTCAATGAAACTTTACAGGATTGATCTGTAGCTCAAGTCCTTGCGCATATTGCAGGGGTTTTCCGGTTGAATGATTTTTGGCCGAGTTATGGCCCTTTGATAAAAAGAAGTTTTTTTCTGTGTGTTGCCAGAAACGCAAAAGCTTGTCCGGACTAACTCATAAACTACTGGTGCAATTTTATCCAAACTTTACAGGAATGATCAGTACAAAGTCTAGTTGTGCACTGTCCGTCTTTCTGTCCGTCTGTCACAAAATTTGTCCCAACATGAAATTGGCCATCATGAGGCGACACATGTGATTACTGATAGCTCTTGTTTTGATTGAGGAAATGTTTCTTGTTTAACGTTACGAAACCGAAAAATGTAACGCAGAACATGCAGTAATTTAATGGAAAGGTAGAAAAATATAAGCACTGTAGTATTTTGACTTACATTCAAAATACTAATTCAATATAATTATACCAAATGCTATCAGAACAAAAGAAGCAAAAGATCTTCCTCTATATGGCAAATGAGTATTTTTTTAACCAGGTTTTCCGAAGGAAAAAACTGGTTATTAGATTGAGGTATGTCGGCGGGCGGGCGGACGGGGCGGGCGGGCGGACGGGCGGGCGGCGGGGCGTAAACAATTTCTTCTGTGCGCAACTCCTCCTACATTTCTCAACGGATTTTGACCAAACTTTCACAGAAGCTTTGTCATCAAGTGCCCTGGCGCATATTGTCGGGGTTTTGCGATTAGATAATATTTGACCTAATTATGGCCCTTTTTTTTTTTTCCTTATATAAAATATATAGTGAACAATTTCTTCTGTGCGCAACTCCTCCTACATTTCTCAACGGATTTTGACCAAACTTTCACAGAAGCTTTGTCATCAAGTGCCCTGACACATATCGCCAAGGTTTTGCAATTGGTGTATATTTGACCTAATTATGGCCTTTGTTTTTTTTCCTTATACAGAATATATAGTGAACAATTTTCTTCTGTGCGCAACTCCTCCTACATTTCTCAACGGATTTTGACCAAACTTTCTCAGAAGCTTTGTCATCAAGTGCCCTGACACATATTGCCAGGGTTTTGCAATTGGTATATATTTGACCCTAATTATGGCCCTTTGTTTTTTTTCCTTATATAGAATATATAGTGAACAATTTCTTCTGTGCGCAACTCCTCCTACATTTCTCAACGGATTTTGACCAAACTTTCTTAGAAGCTTTGTTATCAAAGTGCCTGGCACATATTGTCGGGGTTTTGTGATTGGATAATATTTGACCGATTATGGCCCTTTGTATATTTTTTCCTTATACAGAATATATAGTGAACAATTTCTTCTGTGCGCAACTCCTCCTACATTTCTCAACGGATTTTGACCAAACTTTCTTAGAAGCTTTGTTATCAAGTGCCTGGCACATATTGTCGGGGTTTTGTGATTGGATAATATTTGACCGAATTATGGTCCTTTGTATATTTTTTCCTTATACAGAATATATAGTGAACAATTTCTACAGTGCGCAACTTCAAAAATTAAGCAAAAATAAAGTACTGTTTACCTTTCTAAAACATTTGGGGGAAAAAGGCGAATAGACAAAATAAAATTTCTCAATCATTTTTGTTTGAGGAATATTAAAAAAGCCATAATTCCTCCTAAAAATTCAATTAAAAACAAATGCCCCTTCATGACAAAGCTTCTGTGAAATATTTTGCTGAAAACCTGGTTGCATCGCATTGCGATGTTCCTTGTTTTAAAAATTGAAACAAAGTACAAAACATGAAATTTTAAAAATAAAATAAAAATGCTAGTATTTTTGAAGCACAATCATTATGGGCCTTTAAAAAATATAATGTATTTCACATTATGGGATAAATGTCTTGTGAGACTGTACTTGTAGGGTAAAAAAATGCTGATTGGGTAAGCACAGGATGCTTATATGGGGTGTGAGAGATCAAAGAAGATCTAAGGAAAAAAATTGAAAAAAAAAAAAAAAAAAAACTCAAGAAGAATTTATATGTCTTTGTGTCCAATAGGCAATTGGTTTCCCCTTGATAACTTTTCTTTCAAACGATTGTGTTTATATTTGAGAAGTTATCATGTCATGTCAAAGGACAGCTTAAAATTAATAAGATTTTTCCAAGCAATTGACTCATACATGTGAGTGGGTCAGTCTCCCTCTTTCTCCTGTCAAATTTTTAATTTTTTTCTTAGAATATGGGGTGTTTTTTTAAAAAAAAGAAATCTCCCTCTTTGTCATTTCAAAATTTCTTACTATGTCTATTGTTAATTAAAAAATCTCCCTCTCTTGGAAGTAAATTCTCCCTCTTGAACATTGAAAAAAGTTCACATATAATTATGTTGACCCATTACTGATAAGAGATTTGCTTATTAGCAAATATTCTGGGAATATTACTGGTTTTTGTATGTACATTTTTGAAGGATTTCAATGATTGTATTTATATTTAACATGTAAGTATGTTATGTAAAAATTTTCACTATTTTTTCAGGTGTTGATATTTTCGTAATGTAATTGTTGGCAAAAAAAAATGAGCTCAAATAACAACAACAACTCCTCCTACCTGGAGGTGAGCGGCCAGGAGGCAAGTGACATCTTGGCGGCTGCTTTACAGCAGATGGACGGAATTATTGCAGGTACATAAGAGCCTTAGGTATAATGACAGGTATATTGGCAGATGAGCCACGTCAGGACAAAACCAAAATAGTGTGTTTGAGACCAGCATGGATCCAGACCAGCCTGCGCATCCGCGCAGTCTGATCAGGATCCATGCTGTTTTTGCTATCAGTTTCTCTACTTGTAATAGGGTTGGTAAGCGAACAGCATGGATCCTGATCAGACTGTGCGGATGCGCAGGCTGGTCTGGATCCATGCTGGTCTCAAACACACTATTTTGGTTTTGTGGTGCAAACCCATTATGTTGGTTTTGTCATGACGCGGCTCAAATGGATAGTTATCAGACAACCTCATTATTCTCACACAAGTGATTTTAGCCAGGTTACATAAACAGCCTAACTAAATGAATAACATCAAAGCTATTGTTCACATTTGCCCCATTTGTAACCAACTTAATACTAGGCTATTGTGTGGGTTATAAAGTGAATAAAGTAGATGCAATATCCCAAGAAATATTTTTGTTTGTTTGATCTTCAGTTTTAGGCTTGACCTTCCCAAGAAAACCACAATAATTACTGCCCCACAAAAAGAAAAATGATTTTGCAGTAAGACAACTTCAGTATCTAATATTTATTATGCTCCCCGAAAAATTTCGGGGAAGCATATAGTCGTCGGGTTGTCCGTCCATCCGTACGTACGTACGTACCGAATTCGTGTCCGGCCCATTAATTTGTTATTTGAAGTTGGATTTTAAAATTATTTCACAGAAATGATCACCATATTGAGACGACGTGTCGCGCGAAACATTTGGGTCACTACCTTGAAGGTCAAGGTCACAGCATGACCTTGCAGCAAAATCGTGTCCGGTCCATAACTTCATTATTTGAAGTCGGATTTTAAAAATATTTCACAGAAATGATCACCATATTGAGACGACCTGTCGCGCGCAACATTTGGGTTGCTACCTTGAAGGTCAAGGTCACAGCATGACCTTGCAGCAAAACGTACGTACCGAATTCGTGTCCGGCCCATAACTTTGTTATTTGAAGTTGGATTTTAAAATTGTTTCACAAAAATAATCACCATATTGAGAGGACGTGTAGGGCGCAACATTTGGGTCGCTACCTTGAAGGTCAAGGTCACAGCATAACCTTGCAGCAAAATTGTGTCCGGTCCATAACTTCATTATTTGATGTTGGATTTTAAAAATATTTCACAGAAATGATCACCATATTAAGATGACGTGTCACGCGCAACATTTGGGTCGCTACCTTGAAGGTCAAGGACAGCATGACCTTGCAGCAAAATCATGTCCGGTCCATAACTTTGTTATTTGAAGTCGGATTTTTAAAAAATTCCACAGAAATGATCACCATATTGAGACGATTTGTCGTGCGCAACAGGTGGGTTGCTTCCTTGAAGGTCAAGGTCACAGCATGACCTTGCAGCAAAATCGTGTCCGGCCCATAACTTCGCTAGTTGAAGTTGGATTTAAAAAGTATTTCACAGAAATGATCATCATATTAAGATGACGTGTCATGCACAACATTTAAGTCGCTACCTTGAAGGTCAAGGTCACAGCATGACCTTGCAGCAAAATCGTGTCCGGCCCATAACTTCCTTATTTGAAGTCAGATTTTTAAACTATTTCACAGAAATGATCACCGTATTAGAATGGCGTGTCGTGCGCAACATTTGGCTCGCTACCTTGAAGGTCAAGGTCACAGCATGACCTTCCAGCAAAATCGTGTCCGGCACTTAACTTCATTATGTGAAGTCGGATTTTACAACTATTTCACAGAAATGATCACCACAATGAGACATTGTGTCGTGCGCAACATTTGGGTCGCTACTTTGAAGGTCAAGGTCACAGTATGACCTTGCAGCAAAATCGTTTCCGGCCCATAACTTTGTTACTGGAAGTCGGATTTAACAACTATTTCACAGAGATGATCACCATATTGAATTGACGTGTCACATGCAACATTTGGGTCACTACCTTGAAGGCAAAGGTCACAAAAATGAAATATTTAGACAATGTCGTGCACAATATTTGGGTTGTTTTTACACTTTGAACTTTGTCTGTGACATAACTCTGACACAACAAGAGGCATACCTTCCTGTGTCCAAAACCTATTCGGGGAGCATCACCCGGTTCAACCGGCTCTTGTTTGAAAAGATGTAATAAAATCATTTTGAATAAATGATCTTGAAACATTGGTCTTTTTAAAGTGTGATTTCTTGTTGTAGCAAAAGACTCCACCAATCTGTTCCTCAGGTAGGTTGGGGTGTACATGGCCAAGTGGTTAAGGTTGTTGACTTCAAACTGTTTGCTCCTCACCAATTTTGGGTTCGAACTGGACAATGACTTTGAATTCTTTCATGTGAGAAAGCTATCCATTTAGCTTACGGAATGTCGGTGGTTCTACTAAGGTGCTCGTTTGTGCCTGGAATAATGCACAGAAGGCCACTTGAGGTCTTTCTCCACCAGTAAAGCTTGAACATCGCCATTATGACCTATACTGTGTCGGTGTGTGATGAAAAACCCAAACAAACAAATTCTCATGTGGATTATTATACCCCCGCACAATGAAGTTGTAAAGGGGGTATACTGGAATCAGCTTGTCTGTCTGGCAGTCCGGTCGTCTCTTATCTGTCCATCAGATTTTCCTTGTCCGCCCAATAACTTAAGATTCCTTTGACCCACAGTCTTTATATTTGGTATTTAGATTGGTCATGATTAGTAGATGTTCCCTATTTACTTTGAGGTCACAGGGTCAAAGGTCAAGGTCACAGGGGCCTTGAGTAAAAAAAGTCTGTCCGCCCAATAACTTAAGATTCCTTTGTCCCACAGTCTTCATATTTGGTATTTAGATTGGTCATGATTAGAACATGATCCCTATTGATTTTTAGGTCACAGGGTCAAAGGTCAAGGTAACAGGGGCCTTGAGTAAAAAAACTTGTCCGCCTAATAACTTATATTTGGTATTTAGATTGGTCATGATTAGTAGATGATCCCTTTTTATTTTGAGGTCACAGAGTCAAAGGTCAAGGTCACAGGGGCCTTGAGTAAAAAAAGCTTGTCCGCCCAATAACTTAAGATTTCTTTGACCCACAGTCCTCATATTTGGTATTTAGATTGGTCATGATTAGTTGATGATCCCTATAGATTTTTAGGTTACCGGGTCAAAGGTCAAGGTCACAGGGGCCTTGATTTAAAAAAAGATTGTACGCCCAATAACTTAAAATTCCTTTGACGCACAGTCCTCATATTTGGTATTTAGATTGGTCATGATTAGTAGATGATCCCTATTTACTTTGAGGTCACAGGGTCAAAGGTCAAGGTCACAGGGGCCTTGAGTAAAAAAGTCTGTACGCCCAATAACTTAAGATTCCTTTGTCCCACAGTCTTCATATTTGGTATTTAGATTGGTCATGATTAGAAGATGATCCCTATTGATTTTTAGGTCACAGGGTCAAAGGTCAAGGTCACAGGGGCCTTGAGTAAAAAAACTTGTCCGCCTAATAACTTATATTTGAGGTCACAGGGTCAAAGGTCAAGGTCACAGGAGCCTTGAGTAAAAAAAGCTTGTCCGCCCAATAACTTAAGATTTCTTTGACCCACAGTCCTCATATTTGGTATTTAGATTGGTCGTGATAAGTTGATGATCCCAATAGATTTTTAGGTTACCGGGTCAAAGGTCAAGGTCACAGGGGCCTTGATTAAAAAAAGATTGTACGCCCAATAACTTAAAATTCCTTTGACTCACAGTCCTCATATTTGGTATTTAGATTGGTTATGATTATTAGATGATCCCTATTGATATTGAGGTCACTGGGTAAAGGTCAAGGTCACAGGGGCCTTGATTTGAAAATGCTTGTCCACTAAATTGCTTAAGAATGCTTTGGTCAACAGTCTTCATATTTAGTATTTAGGTTGTTTATGACTAGTAGATGACCCCTATTGATTTTTAGGTGACTGTATAAAAGGTAAATGTCACAGGGATTTTTACTATAATAAGCTTGTCTGCTCAGATGCTTAAGAATGCCTATCCACAGTGATTTTGACATTTTCACATTTGAAGCATGGACTGGCTTAGTAACCTCAGATTTGGCAGGGAGGTTGTCATTGAGCTCTAAATGGCCACTGTAACTCCAGGCTTTCCAAGATGACTACAACCAGTAATTACCAATTCATCCGGACTGACTTATTCCATGTGATTGACAACTAATTCCACACAATTTCTGAATGACTTTTTATGCCCCTGCCATATAATGGCTGTGGCATATAGTGTAACCCTGTTTTTCCGTCATTCGTCATTGTCATTCTGTCATCATCAGTTCCGTTCATTATTTTAGTAACGGTTGCACACATTCAACTCAAATTTGGCATATGGATATGTCATGAGAAAATACAGGTCAAGTTCGAATTTGGTCATGGTTCGATGATTTTTGGCAGAGTTAGGCCCCTTTTACTATGAAAATAATATGAAAATTTCAGTTTCCGTTCATTATCTCCCCAACAGTATTACACATTTAACTCAAATTTGACATATGGGTACATCAAAGAAATACGCAGGTCATGTTCAAATTTTGTCATGGTTCGATGATTTTTGGCAGAGTAATGCCCCTTTAACTTTGAAAATAAAGGAAATTTTCAGTTCCCATTTATTATCTCCCCAACAGTTGTACATATTCAACTCAAATTAAAGATATGGATATGCCATAAGAATGCATTAGTCAAATTCCAATTTGGTCATGGTTTGATGATAGCTGACAGAGTTATCCCTCTTGAACTTTGAAAAAAAATCAGAAATTTTAAGTTTCAGTTCATTATCTCCTCAATGGTTGTACACATTCAATGCAAATTTGACATATAGATACATCTTAGGAATAAGCAGTTCAAGTTTGAATTTGGTCGTGGTTCAATGGTTTGGACAAAGTTATCTCCGTTGGATGTTGGAAAAATTTTGAATTTTCAGTTTCAGCACATGTATGTAGCCATTAATTTGGCTAGAAATATGCAATATGCAATTTACTAAAGGTTAACACTGAATAGTTTCAGTACCTTGAACTTTGTTTAAAAATGGTTTGTGTTAACATTGAATAGTTTTAAGGGCTTTGAACTCAAAATGAAAAAAAAAAATTTGTACAAACAAATTTGGAACTAAACATAATAACATCTGAAATTTTGGCTGCATGCGGGGGCATCCATGGCGTGATGACACATTTCTAGTTATACAATGTCACATAGAAATGTTTCCTCGCTCACGGATGTAACCTTTGAGTTAAATAACAAAAGCTTTCCCGATTGACCTAAGGGCGGACAAAAGCAAAACGTAGTTATTTTGTTACAAAGACTGCTTGTTTTGATGATTATAAGGTCAATGGGTTAATTTGGTTGCACTAGCTCTGTAATTAAATTCTCCCTTCTTGATAATTCATAATATTTAAAATCATTTTGATATTTTCATGTTTCATATATTTTTTGTTTTTAAGGCACAAAGTTTGACAGCAGTAGTGGTAGTAATGGGTTTGGATCTTTAACATCAACTCCGGAGAACACTTTAAAACATCGTAGTAACGTAACTGAGGCACGTATCATAAAACTTGTAGACGATTTAAAATTGGCATTAGAACTGTGTGACAATAAGCAACAGATTATACGCAAACTTCCTGACGATGTTCTCACTGCTGTTGTTGCCTGGTTACAAAGTGGGAAAGAAGAGGCCAGCAAGGTAAGACCACTGTTTTTTGTCTTATTTTAAGGATTGGTAACCCCAAATGAATCTGTAAATATCGGCTTCTGTTAGGTATAACCATAATTACTCGGTAGTTGTTCTGAAGCCCTCTTTCGCCAGTTATAGTTTACCTATTTTTAGATCATTTTTAGCTCAACCTTTTTTTAAAAAAAAAAACAAAACAGAGGTACTATAACATTCATGTCAGCCATTGCCGTTGCTGTCCGCAAACTTGTACCTTGATCATAACTTTTTAAGTTCTTGTTGAATTGTCTCCATATGTGGCCACAACAACACATGGGACAAGACCTTTCAGTAGACCAGACTAATCTTGACCTTCATCCATAAATGACCTTGACCTTCAAGGTCAAATTATTGAAATTTGCGTTATATTGTCATAATTTTGTTAGTAATGTACAGATTTGATTTAAACTTGGATAAAACGAGGCTTTCAGATTTGTTTAAATTGTTTATTTGTTTGCTTTAAGAAAAAATAAAAAAGTCAAGCAGTGCCCCCGCCCGGTGCCATAGCTCTTGTTTTTCAAATGTGGCAGTATTTAAGTCAGTGCTATCATTATTTGAGAAAATTGATATTATGTTTGAATTGATTACATTATGTGACATGATCTTATAAAATGCTTTTTCCTAAAACCTTTCTGACAGTTATTGTATCGAGTTGACTGCTGTAATGTCAAGAAAATCAGAAATTTTTTATTCTGTCCCAATATACTGTACCGATTGTGAGAGAATTCTTTAGAATGAATTAAAAGAAGGAGCATCAAAATTGCCGAACACCATAATATGGTGCTAGTAGATGTATTAGTCTTGGGATTGTAATACTGATTTTACTTTGAAAAAAATCTATTGTGAATACAACAGTTACGCTGGTTTACTATATATGAGGGCCAGTCAATAAATAACAAGTCTAACACATCTCTGATCAACCAAGACATCCACAATTTTCACATATTGTTTCAATACATGTACTATACCTGGGTACAAAGCTACACATGCATACAGTCATTTGTTTGTCAGATATTGAATGTTAAACATGGCTAGTGATGTTAAATCAAGCTTTTCATCAAAAGTGGAATACCGTGCTGTAATTTGGTACTTGCATTTGAAAGTGTAAAACTGGTAAGGACATAATTGCCGAGTTAGTTGATGTGTATGGGTATTCTGCACCATCTTATTCGTTAGTTAAATTCAGGGTTTGGGAGTTTAACGTCTTTAGAAGATGGAGCCAGGTCCAGAGTCCCAGTGGATGTCGCTGACAAAGAAAAATTTTAATGTGTCTTAAAGTCAGAGATCTGGTATACTCAGATACACTAATTCAGGTTGAAGAAATAGCACAGGCATTAGGCATTTCACATGGCAGCATTTCAACAATTTTGCTTGATCGTTAAGGGATGTGCAAACTTATAGCCCAGCCGGTTGGGTTCCAAAATCCATTAGCAAGAAACAAATGGCAATGAGAGCATCAGTATTCAGTGGGTTGTTGAAGCGTTTGAGGTCAAAAGATGAATTCCTTTCACGTCTAGTTACTGTGGATGAGACTTGGGTGCATTATAATGAACTAAAAAATAAATCCCAGAGTCGTCCGTGGGTAGGCCTGGGAAATTATATTGAAAAAGAAGCGGTAGATTTCAACCCGAAATAGGTTAGGCTATTTATTGTGTCGCCTCTACGGAGTAGTGGCGACATATAGGGATCACTTCTCCGTCGTCTGTCTGTCCGTCTGTCTGTCCGTCCGTCCGTCACAAAACTTGTCCGGACTACTCCTCATAAACTACTGGTGCAATTTCATCCAAACTTTACAGGAATGATCAGTACCAAGTATAGTTGTGCATATTGTCAGCATTTTCCGGTTCAATGATTTTTGTCAGAGTTATGGCCCTTTAATAATTTTTAATTTTAAAGTTTGTCCGGACTACTTCTCTTATACCACTAATGCAATTTCAATGAAACTTTACAGGATTGATCTGTAGCTCAAGTCCTTGCGCATATTGCAAGGGTTTTCCGGTTGAATGATTTTTGGTTGAGTTATGTCCCTTTGATAAAAAGGTTTCTTTTTCTGTGTGTTGCCAGATACACAAAAGCTTGTCCGGACTACTCCTCATAAACTACTGGTGCAATTTTATCCAAACTTTACAGGAATGATCAGTACCAAGTCTAGTTGTGCACTGTCCGTCTGTCACAAAATTTGTCCCAACATGAAATTGGCCATCATGAGGCGACACATGTGATTACTGATCGCTCTTGTTGACTCGCCCTCTTATATATAAATACATGTTAATATATGGGTTTTGTGTGGTCAATAAGTGTTTCTATATAAAAAGCATTGCAATTTCGGAATTTTCTCTTTTAAGTTTATTATAATTGTCTGAAATATAACTTCTAAAATATAAATGATTATGTCATTGAAACTTCACACAATCATAGATTGTCCAAAATCCATAATTCTGACATGGATTTTGACAAGAATTATGGCCCTTTTTGAACTTTTTGGTTTTATTGCATGCAGCATTATTCCTCAAAACAACTTAAGGTAAAATTGAATGAAATAATGCCTTTTGCGAACTTCACAAATTTTTTTGGTAGAAATCCAAGACTCATAATTATGTCAGTACATTATTTGTATTTTTGAGAATGAAAATTTTCTTTGTGTTAATTATTACATTATCTAGGCTCTTGTTTTACTATCAAGCACTGAGATCAATAGTCAAGGACTGTTGTCTCAAAGACTCCTGTTTTGATTATCATTTGCAATACTGTAAATTCTCTCCATTAGGGCCACTGATGGAACTGACTCAAAGTCACAGCATGAATTTCTGTATATATTCTATATATTTTGGGTTTGAAGCATAAATATATCTATATATTGTTAAACAAAATATAGACGCCAACATAATCACTGAGTATTTTTAAAACTAGTCATGTGATTTGAACAAACCCTGGAAGTTACAATAACAGATATTGTGGATATTATATGATTGAAACAAAACTAAATCATTCATTTGACCTGTTCTTAAATGTCTGCAGAGTTCACTGTGACAATTCTTAACGCTTTAACCTGACCTATGTAGGTCAAGTTAGGAAACAACCATATTCTTTATAAGGAGAAAAAGTTTTGTTCATGTGTCTGTCTACTGTATTCTTTTTGAGGATATTAACAGAATAATGAATAAAAAAATCAAAACGAAGAAATGAAAATTTTGCCAGTGTCTCCCTTTAATAGTGATTTGGCCTTAATAGCAAAGAAGTTAATTTCATTTCTTATGAAGTCCAGTATAACTATATGTATATGTACCCATGTCTCAGACTTTGATTTAGGTTTTATATACATATATTTCTTTAGATAGCCAAAAAAGTGTTTCCCAGATTGGTTCTCGGTCAAACCTTAATGTCTCTCTCACAATTATTTATCAAATTAACTTGTTCTTTCAAATTCAGGTCTTGCCATTTTACTTTTTCCATGATCAGATTTTGAACAGACTGTGATAGCAATGATTGTAAGTGTCATTAGAATGCAAAATAAAGAAAGAATGACGTTTTTACAGTTTTTTAAGTAATATAATAATAATAATAATGATAAACACTTTATTTCATGAAGGTAAAATATTAAAAAACACATGTCATATTTACAATATATATTTACAAAATTTAAATCAACAGACACATGTATTCATCAGAATAAAATAACAAGTAAATAGTTTTTTTCTTTTAAAACATATGAGAAGAAGATTCTTTATTACATGCTATTTGGTGGTTTATAGAAACATATCAGTTAAATAAAAACTGATGATTTCACTGTTTTGAATTCTAGCCCCTTACGTTGTTTCAGTGAAATACAAGCGTTCACAGTACTGGAAACCAACTTAGTGTTCAACCCTTTTACAGTTGGACACTACGCTTTCCTCTTTTGATTGCATCTGACGGACCAAGTGGGAGACTCTATGATGTATAGTTCGTAAAGCCCTTTGGGACTGAATTGTCTTAATGTTCGTCTTCTGCCTTGCTTCGTCGGGCCCTTGTAGGTGATTTTCTTGTTGCTCTGTCTTCCTTTAGGACATTGAGTACTTTTGTTATGGTCATTGGGTTTACTTTTATATATGTTTCTACATGATCATTTTAGTGTTTTACTTATTTAATCTTTTGTAACCAAGACAACTGTTAGAATTTCACTTGGCGGGGATTCATTTTATTTACACTGTCTCGTTTATAGGAACATGGTGGGGCTAAGAGCGAGGTTTGGTGCACCATTAACAGGTTTAAACTCCCCAGCAGTCATTATTATGCTGCTGACCGTTCCAAGGCGGCGCCCTACTGTGTTCCTCAGATGTATGTCTATGTTGTTTCATACTGTTTTGGTGACACCTTTGCTTGTGTCCCTTGTTGTTTTCTCGTCTACGGTAAAGTATCTTCCACATTGCCTCTAGCTTTTATTTCTTTGATTACCCCCCTCCCTTCCCCTGGTCTCCTGTTCCCTTCCCCTTTGTGGGCCTATTATCAATTTCTTTGAATTCCTAATCAGTTACAAATTATTTATCATTTAATGATTAACCTGTCCATGCTCTGTCTTTGCCCTGTCCTGTTTTTGTTTGGGGTCTGCCTGGGCTCCTTGCCATTGGTTCTTGTTGCTGGGTCATATGGGGGCTGCGTTCATTGAACGCCGCCTTTCCTTGTTGATCTTGTTCTTCTTCATATTTAATGACGTGACGTCGTAAATGACATCACGTTATATTATTATTTGGCACACTTTTCATTTAGTATTAGGCTAAATATTTTTTTAAACGTTTTTTGCATATAATAAAAAGAAAATTTGTTTAGTTCAGAGTAAGATTGAAATATATTTCACCTCGTCACACCAAAATGTCATATTTCACTCGTGGCTGCGCCACTCATGAAATATACCTTTTGGTGCTCACTCGGTGAAATATATTCCAATCTTACACCCAACTAAACAAAATTCATCCTCTATTTAATTAATATATAGATATTTATTATGCCATACATGAAAAGCTTTATAGATAAAAA